TAAGAATTTGCACTCATGAGGTGGGTGGCGAAGTTTTGCAACTTTTATAAGCGGTGCTTGAGGTGCTCGGAAAGCTTTAATACAAAACTTAGATGCGATGTACGCTGCTTGGATCAGTTCATCAAAACAATCTGTTTATTTGAACTACTTTTGAGTGATGCGTTCCTTCATTGCTCTTCACAGTCTTCAGCGGATCATGCGACAAACCTGAATAGAGGCTTTCGCGGCTTTGGAAGCAAGCTCAAAGAGGCGTGCGTATAAACACTTGTGCCTTTTTTTGCGGTTTGGTTTTCTGTCATGTTCAAGAATCGTGGAATCTGTGAATAAGTTTTGACTCTGACTACCCACAGAAGAACATTCCGGAATTGTGCTCTAAACGGCGTTTGCAGTTTTTTGACTTGTACCATTGTAATTGTTGTGGTTGCTTAAAATGAACTCACGATTACCAATGCCACTATCAATCAGGCGAGGTGTTCATATCCTTATAAGTTTTTTTGAAAATCTGGTTCAATTAACTCCTCGTCATTTATTCATGTGGCTACACGTGATTTGACTTGGACACTAGCAGCTTCCATGTATTTAACTCCCTTTAGGGAGATCGCGACTTTTAACCTGAAGGCATTGCAACGTCAGCGGCAGCAGCAGGCGGAGGGATTGGACGAAAGTGAGGCACTCAATGAACGTCGTGCAAGAAGTTGCGATGAGTGGGGTGAAGACGACGGAGCAGAGGTGAGCCAGCCTATACATTCTATTAGTCGTTTCTGGTATTGTAAGGTATGCTTGGTACGTTGTTATCTCCCTTATGGAATGAATTCAACAATTGTCTGTAAATGGATTAACTGATTTGACAAGTTTTTTTAATTCCAAAGTTACTTAGGGGTAGAAACTGATCAAATTATTGTCACACTGTATATTCACTTTAACAAAGGTTGTGAAAAATCATTGTAAGATTTTGCAGTTAGTACTTGGAATTTTTCAAATTTTTTTACCAAGCCAGTGAATTCAGCAGTATATCATTTTGTAGCACCTATCTGCAATTTGTCTATCGCGACTTGTTACCCGCTTTAAGCGAGTTAGTCTCATTAGCTCAAAGCCAGTTATCCCGCTAGCAAATATTTCAAGTGGGAAACTGCATTTATTCGTAGTTTTGCAATTTTAACTTTAAGAGGAACAAACGTGGCGAGCTGAGTCGGTTGACGGAGTGTCGTCCATCAGCTCAAGATGGAATTAACACCTACTTTATGGAGGTAGTAGTAATTCGAACAACAGTTGCAAAGACTTTAAAAGTTTGGACGAGATACGACTAAGTTGAAATGGGAAACGGTTAACGCCAGTAATTTACACTGACCAAATCATGAAATGTTTGGCAGTACTTTAAAGATGGGATGCACTTAGGTCTGCTTTTTCCAACGTGTATTTTACCATTAACATATACCTTTTGGACTCCGCA